TCCAGGAGTGTGTCCATATTAAACTTCCCGTCTGCCATCAAAAAAATACCAGAAGCAAATTTGAACCAAGCCACTTTATAACTAATAAGAGCTCATTTTTATAGTTTTTCCGTGAAGATATCCGCTAGTTGGGCCCAAATGATTAATCATATAGATAATCCACCTATCCAACTATGAAATTGGCCGTAAAAGCCAACTGGTAGCGAATAGGCAGTTTATTCACGGTTACACTAGGTATGCCAATTGGACATGTTGCTGACGAAACTTTAATCAGATTTGTATTTTTGTCGCCCCTCTGTGAGGGAAACAACGCCGGATTCATCAAGCTGATAGCGGTCACTTCTGCTATTGCTTGCAGACGTTGACCCAGGGGCTTTGGATAATTTTGTCGGACTTTGTAGATAACTCGGAAAGATTCGTTGGGGTCGACCCGATGTCCGGAATCAACCATTTGCGCCAGAAAATAGTTGTTTACGCTCCTGACTTCACGTTTTCTCAGCCATTCCGGGAGATGTTATTTTATTCTCTTGGAAAGGCGCCGACTCGTACGGCCAGTGTAACCTGCGCCACAGGAGCAAGTAAAGGAGTATATGTACATGGAGGTGGTCTGAGCTGGTAACCTATCCTTACCTTCCCCATGTAAGATTGGGTTGGCTGAGAATAATATCCGAACTATGGCTGCTGGGAAGATTTGTTAAAGGCTTGGTCAAGGCATCTTTTCAGCAGTTCACTTGCCACGTCCCCTCGAAAAAGGACTTAGAGAAATAGTGTTTTCTTTTCCGCAGTAAGTACGGTGGATTTTATTTGTTTAGCAGCCATATTTCGTGAAATAAATATTTCGAGATACCCGTTCTCACCTGGCCTGATGAGGATTTATCGAAATTATTCATATGCTCGCTAATCTAGTCTTTGGAAGTCTCTGATAGGAATTTTCGCAACTCTAAAATCAATATTGGTAAATCACAGCGTGAAGTACCGCTAGTTTCCAATCGCTTGCACACTCGATTCATCATCATCATCATCATCATCATTATTGAAAGTGGGTCCACTCGCCAGCGACAGAGTATCAAACATAAACACACAAGACCTCCGCCTAACATTAACTAGTGAGATGACGAATGCTAATATAAATAAAAGAACACGTGCGCATCCCGATCGTGCGAACTGAAAAAACACAAAGTTCCTGGTTTGTTTACACGGAGCGCAAATGTACGTGCGCAGCCACCAAAGGACTTCAACTTTCTAATTTAGTGCTACCAGCCCTTTTAAGGTATTTGAATCGGAGCTACGCAGAGTAGAAAAGAATAAAAAAAGGCATACGTTCCCTCGTAAAAGTGCGACCAACATGCCAGTAGCAGATGAAAAAATGGCTATTTACTTTAAAGTGTGTGCCTACATTTACGTACAACTTGCTGAAAAGAGGTAAATCAAGAGTCAGTTCACGCTAGATCTCCGTACAGCTCTTAATCCTCGATAACGTTCAATGCCATATTTAGTTGATTCTCGTGATCTACCAACACGTCGATAAATGCTGAACATAAGGAGGATGTACATTGGATTTCATTCTTCAATACTGCAATCTGAACCCAAAACTGAAAGGTCCTAAAACAGAAAAGCATCCGGTTTATTCAAAAATGCTAGCATTGTGCTTTTAGGAACAGCACTAACTATAAGGTTGAAAAAGAATCCAATCTGTTCAATTTCAACCTACGGAGACCTTTTACTGCTTACGGTCT